TAGTGAATCCTTCTCGAAGCCGGTAAGTTAGAATTTGCGCCAAGCTAGCGGTGAGCATGGATTCATTTTGCCGTCGGCGAATCATCAGCTGATCCTTCTTGCCAAAGGTAGGCTCATAGTAGTCATCACAGGTGGTGTAGAAGTACGGATTGTCGATTTTCCAGATATTATTTCTATAGTCGGGTCCGTGAAGCTCTTGGTAGAAGCTAGAGCAGTCGTACTGGAAACTCCAAATGAAGAAGGCCTTGTGGAACACGTTATAATCATTTCGGTTTAAGGGGAAACACTGATGACAAGAATACAAAATACGGCACGATTAATAAAGTAGAATAAGTAAAACTTTGTCAAAACGTACGTTATAATCAGGACTAATTGAAATGAAAGCTCCAAAAGTGGCTTTAGAGAAGAACTTCATGAAGTCATGGTAAGGAACATGGCCGAAAGATGAATTAGGATGAGCGGGACTGCCGATTTGAATGAAAGAGCAGGAGATCATGCCAAGGCGAAGTTGTCCGAGTGCAGACTCAAGAGTATTGGAATCGGGAAAACTGAAATCACCATCGGTGACGATGATCATTCCTTGGTGGCAGTTTTCAGGAAGGAGGTTCAGTGTGAGCAGCCCAAAACGAATCATATTGACCAGAGATTGATCAGCAGACACGAGGTTGCTCTTGATCAGTTTTCGAAAATTGGCGCACTCTAATTTGGTTCCTTCCCTTTCAATGTTCAACTTAAGTTCTTCCATAAAATCATGGAATCGTAATGTTAAAGTATCAAATAATTGTTTGTACGTATTTCGGCACAACTTGAATCCATGTACAATGACCTTAAAATCAAACGAAAAATTATAAAGAAAGGATCAATGCTGTGATTTGAAAACTTACATTATTAAAATCACCGGAATAAAATGGACTGTACACTATAATTGAAATGTATATTTCGGGCTCAAAGATGAACTTACTTCCTGGTACAATGAACTAGAACAAACGACAAAATTTTGGTAAGGTGAAACTAACTGCTTGTGAAAATCTGCTTACAGGTTCAGATAGGCACTTCAGGCATTTGGTGATGGCAGGCAAAATTTCGTCCGTCAGTACGGTGGAGTGGTGAACGTCCTAGTAAATGGACTGTCATTAGTCAAAAAGCTTCTCCCATAAAGAGGGAGACGTACCACATTGGTCAATGATGTGCTAAGGTCGATGATGTAAACAAAGCTGTACTTTCTTGAGAAAAACTTGAACTGAGATGTAGGTGTGATCCTGAAGTTTCGATGATGAGGACATCTCTCTTCCGTATATGGCGTGTAAATGGAGATGATGTCAATTTCATTTTCACAGTCCTCCTGGGAATGACAATGATCAATGACAAGATGAGCATTGTACGGCGACATGTGCGATGAAGAGACTTACAATGTTCTTCTTCTCTTCCAGTCTGATGACCGTGTTCAGCGTCTGCAGATACCACTGTGCTCTGATGTTCCGTGAGATGCGATACCTGTTGAGGTGGGAGGGGTAATGGGCGCTTGAGTTTCCGCCAGGAGATGCCCGCATGCAGCAGGGAAGACACTTACCGGTCCGTCAGGAGGACGTAAACCTGATCGGCGTCAGGCGGCGGCTCCTCTCTCACCGCCGCCGACCTCTCCATACTCGGATCCAAGTGGATTTTATGCATCAGCAGATGCCGGCGGAAGACGTACTCGAGAGGGGGTGACTGATTGGTGGGAGGGGGCGAAGAAGTGCATTCATATCCGTCCACTACACTAACTCCTGCACTTGAATTGACGATATACGTAGCGGTGTAAATAGCGTAAATAAAAAAAACGGGGGGGAGACGATTTTTCTTCTCCACACAAAACAGTGCAAAACAGNCGGCAAAATCAAAATTATCATTGCTGACTCGATTTTCAACTCCAATCTAAAAGCTAATCAAATCAAACTCACTGGCTAAAAAGGCACCGGGAGGGGGTGCTGAAGGCCATTCAGGTACTGTTACTCATTTATTACCATTCCCCTTTTTTCTTTCTTTCTTTCATTCTCAGTGCTCAAGGCGGTACCACTTTCAGTGAGTAGTTCAGACATGTTCTCCGAAGTAGCCGACGCCGGTGAATGCTGTAATGGCCAGTGCAACTGTATTCTCTATCCTTTCTCTCAAACTTGTATCGAGAATGTAAATGTGCAGATCGAAGGAGTGAAGGAGACAAGCTTGCACAAAGTTCAATTAGCGGCGCCAGTCACGCAACACTTGTTCGTTTGTCAAGTCTCTCTTTCTTTTTCTGTGTGTATTTTTTTTCATTTCAAAAAGTCGGTTTTAACGTCAGCAATTTATGGTGTGTTGCTGGCCTTGTCACAGCTTTTGTACCACAGCAACGGCAGCGGCAGCGGCAGCAGCAGGACCGCAATGCGCCAAATGTGCGCCGCCGACGATCTACGTCCGCCACCGCCGCCGTCGCCACTGCGCGACTTACTCCACACTGTTCACTGTCGCTGGCATGACTTCAGTTTTGGTTGTACCACACTAGTGCTGGTACGATACTTTTTGACCAGTTTATCGGTGGGAGAAAGAGAGCTCTGGAAACTGTCGTTGTGTGTGTGACCTCGAGGAGCGATCGATTAGGTTAGATAGGTTAGTCTGCTTTGGCTGAATCCACTAGGCGCCTAGCATGCTTTCTGCCTTCTTCCCCCCCCCTCTTTGTCAGTACTTTGCGTTTTGGTCGATTGGCCTTTTAATTAAAGGTTAGGCTTAGTTTAGCGTAGTTCTCGAGGCAACGAAAGTGTGTGTCAGAGACAAGGTGCCTTCTCTTCAAACAGGTTACCAGCATTACCACTACCGCCAACTGACAATCAATGAGCCTGGCAATTGGTGTCGCCTCAAAAGTCAAAGTAGAGAGAGAGAGAGAGAGAGAGAGAGAGAAACGTTATCATTAAATTATTCAGTTACTTTAGATACACCCGAAACAAAAAGATCATTACCATTACCCATTACAACANGGACTTTGCACCAGTATCACATAATAATTCAGTCATTGCTGCTGCTGTGGTAAGTGAACGCCGGTAAGCCAGTCCACCATGGTGATAGCCGGTGAAATAGGGGTCGAACATGTGCAGGTGAAAGAGAGGCTGACAGAGGAGAATGAGAATGAGAATGAGAGTGAGAGTGAGAGTGAGAGTGACTGCACTGATCCAGGAGGAATAGCTTCCTTCCTCAAGCGCTTTATTAGGCGGTGGAAGTAGTAGCAGCGGCAGCAGAAGTGGTAGTAGTTCTGTGCCGCAGTCGCAGTGAGCCAGAATCTGCCAGGACAACTGGAACGATGGTTTCTGCTGCCTCTGCCTTCCCAACAGTGTACCGTTTCCTGGTGTCTGAGTCAGAGTAGCAGAGTGCACCCTCGCTCACTTGTCCTCACTCAGTCACACACATACTACTCCAGCTCCCGGAGCCTTTTTTGCCATCATTTGTGCATATCCTCCACCCAGTGCAGTCCTTTCACCAGCAGCACACATTCATTCTCATTCATTTAGCAACCGCAAGAGCAGCAGCAGCAGCAGTGACGCAGGCTCTTGTCTGCCCTGCACTCTCTCTCTTCTGGAACCCCTCCTGCAACTCGATTGCCCGCGTCCGCTGCCTTACTCACTCACTCTCTCTGCTTTTCCACTGCCCCTAGTTCTTTGGTTGCTATTGAGATCGACTGCAGCAGCAGCAGAAGCAAATCTTCTGTTGAACAACAGAAACAGTGTCTGAGAGAGACAGAGTAACACGAAGCCACAACAGAGAAGCAGTCAGAAAGCAGGCAAGCAAGAGAGGAGAGTGAGAGAAGCCGTGAGCCTCGAGCGAGTCGCTCCACTGACCAGCAGCAGCAGCAGCAGCAGCAACTTCAGCAGGCGAACAGAACAGATCAGATCAGAAAGCGGAGAAGGGGACAACGCTGCAAACGGCAGAACGAGTCATCATCGGTAGTGCGATTATCATCATTCAATTGGCATCAGTGCATATGCTTTTCTACTGACACACTGACCACCACCACCACGACCACCACCGCCACTACGGCCAGCAGCAGCATCCATTGCGCCTTACAGTAGAACATCGCACGGCTACTTGTTTGCCTCACTCTTTCCTCCTCTTTCCCTCCCACCCGCTTCTTCTTTTTCATCTTCCTCCTCTACGACTTTGTGAATCTTCAGCATTAGCAGCTTCAGCCTCGACTAGTGTACTTCAGCATCATCAGCCACAGCTCTGACTGGCGCCATTCCCCATTTCCCCATTGGCCACACTGTCCCACTTGTCAGTCGTTCAGTTCAGTTAGGCAGCTTTGCACTTCAGAGTTTTCTCTCTTGCACTCTTTTTGCAGCACCTCTAGCATTCAGCAGTGTCTTTGTACATCACCGTCACAGAGTGTGCACTGCACAAACAGACACACACACGGACGGACAAACAGAGACATTCAGTTTGCAACCGCAAGTGCGCCCAACTGCACCAGTGAGAGACCACCATCGTTTAGTGGCAGCTGCTGCAGCACACCATCAGTCAGACGCAGTCAAGTTCACCCTTTCCTTTCCGGTGCAGCCATGTCTCCGCGAAACGCCTCTCTAGTTCTCTTTCTCTTCCTCCTCGCAGTGCTGATTCCTATCGGTAAGTCTGTAGGAGATTAGATCATCTGCAGATGTGTGCTGCCGCTGCTCACCGGTGTGCAGGCACCTCAGAGGTGGCCCACTTTTCAGCAGTGACCTTGATCGACATCATCTCTTAATACTTTTCTTTCTTTCTTTAACTGGTCATTCTCTAGCACTGAGCATAAAATGCTGGGAATGTAACACGCGTATCAACGGCGGCTGCGGTGATCCCTTCGTGCCGGGTGACTTTGCTCAGGCTGACTGCTCTCAAAAACACCTGCCCAGATTTCCTGACAAGAATGGCCACTTCNAGAGGTGGCCCACTTTTCAGCAGTGACCTTGATCGACATCATCTCTTAATACTTTTCTTTCTTTCTTTAACTGGTCATTCTCTAGCACTGAGCATAAAATGCTGGGAATGTAACACGCGTATCAACGGCGGCTGCGGTGATCCCTTCGTGCCGGGTGACTTTGCTCAGGCTGACTGCTCTCAAAAACACCTGCCCAGATTTCCTGACAAGAATGGCCACTTCTGTCGCAAGACGACGCAAAAGAGTAAGTTTGCTTTACTTTACAAATAGCAATACGAAAGTTTTAATTTACAAATTTCACTTTTTTTCAGTTAACAACGTGGTACGCGTCATTCGCACCTGTGGCTACATCAACGAAACCATGGACCAGGTGCCGGAGGGCGCCGTCCTGCCTAAGACGTGCGAAAAGCAGTCAGGCGCTGTGGTCATCGAGACCTGCGTCTGCAACAGTGGCGACGGTTGCAATTCTGTGGGCAGTCTAACTGGGGGCCCACTCACTTACCTGCTCCCGCTGGCTGTCGGTGCACTGACACTCGCACTGCGGGCCCGATAAAGATTATGACAACATCAGTCAGTCAGCCCCAGGAAGACAAGAAATACACCAGTAAAATGAAACGGTAGACCTTACAAACCATGCTGGGGCCAATGGGTGACTACCATCATCACGTCTGCTTGACTGCCATTACCACCACTTACTACCATCTCCCACATCAGCACCCGAAAAAACACCAGCAACACCAAAGCTATCCTGACACCAACTGATTACCACTGCGAACTTGACTCCGTTGTGTTCACCCAAACTCTCTTTTCTTTATCTTTATTTGCTTTTATTTCATTTTTTCCATNTTATGACAACATCAGTCAGTCAGCCCCAGGAAGACAAGAAATACACCAGTAAAATGAAACGGTAGACCTTACAAACCATGCTGGGGCCAATGGGTGACTACCATCATCACGTCTGCTTGACTGCCATTACCACCACTTACTACCATCTCCCACATCAGCACCCGAAAAAACACCAGCAACACCAAAGCTATCCTGACACCAACTGATTACCACTGCGAACTTGACTCCGTTGTGTTCACCCAAACTCTCTTTTCTTTATCTTTATTTGCTTTTATTTCATTTTTTCCATTAACTTCTAATTTTTGCTGGGCGCGGCAACTTTCTCTTCCTTTTTCCATCCTAACGCTTCAACTGTGCAGCCATACAGCCTCTCTGCTCTTTCTCTGCTTTACCTATGTTCTTATATAATTGCAGCCTTTTTATTTTTTTCTAGGCCGTTTTGATTTTAAATTTCTTTCCTAGCTCATGATCACCCATCTTTGAACACACCTATGTCTACTCTGTACATATGTTATATTTCCTCTTTTTATTTTATTTTCCTTATCTCTCTCCCTTTGAGTCTACAGATTTCCCTTTGATCAGCCGATGCTGGTCTTGTTTCTCTGCCATCAGCCCCAATTTCCCTCTTTCTCTCTACTACCTGGTCGCCTTGTGCACTTCACTTCATCACCAACCCAGTTTTTTTCTCTTTTTCTCCTAGTCTTAGACCTTTCTCTTCAAATTCTTCATTTTTATTTTCACCACCACCACTACCACCACCAACTCTGTGCCCTTTACTCGATCCACCCAAAAATTCGCCTGACCTTCGACCACTACCACCACCTCCACCATCACCACTACCAAACCAACTAATTTTATCTTATGATTTTATTCACTTTTCACCCCGACATTCTATCTTTTTGCTTTTATCTTCTTGTTGACTATTTTTCTTTCGCTATCTACTTCTGATGCTTAAACTTTGACAGGCACACATAAACATTCCACCCACTTTCACATTTCATTTCCGTTTATACATTTTACTACACGCATTTCTGAAAGCAAAAAAATTGTTGACTACCCAAACAGCTGCTACTCCTTTTCATATCTTCTCAAAGCATGACCTCGGGTAACTTGATCCTGAGCCACCATGACCGCTTTTTTCCTTTTCCCCTTTATAATCAAAAAGCAGGACAACAAAAGTTCAGCACATACACACACCCAAAAAAGCCCATAAAATTCGCCACCACTGCTACTGGCACTAAAATCTGCATCTGTACACACACTTGATGACGTATATAATATATAAATACTAAGCTCTCTCTATCTTTCCAATCTCACACAATCATTTTGGACAGTTGCAATCACACATTCACATTCACTAAATGCCAACTGGGAGCGGCAGATGAAGAGTACTGTACTTGTAGTACCGCTTAGCATATTCAGCAGCGCTCTCTGACCAGTGGCACATAGTAGTGCTACTGCGGCTGCTGTTGATGCCACTAAAAGTTGTAGCACTTCCGAATGATTTCGCCCGGTACTGGTGGTGAAAGCAGTTCAGCAATTGCCTATGACAAGGACAAGCTAAAGTGAGAGTGCCTCATTTCACTGCACACACAATTTTGTACAACGCCCGTGCTGGTGGCAGACTGGTGCGTGTGTGCAGTGTGCACAGTGCACTTAGTCACTTGGCGCCAGGCAATTTGGATCATCAGCGGCGGCAGTTCAGCTCTTCAAGGAGAAGAAGGCAACACTCTAGAGTTGCACAGAGTAGAGCACGCACACACAGTCGCCCTGGCGCCCACTACCAGAAACAGCAGCAGCAGTGGTAACTCTAACCAAAACAAACAGTGTCGCGCAACGGCGGCGTCTGAAGACAGCAGCGGCAGAAACAGCAGCAACTCAGTGCTCCAGTGCCGTTGCCGAGCCGATCCTGCGCTCTATGCTCTCGCGGCGGTCCATGCTGCCATGCTGCTGATCAAGTGTCGTCGTCGTTGTCGTCGTCGAGCTGCTGCTGCTCTGAAAGATTGTGGAGCAGCGTGTAGTCCACTTGATGATGAGTGAACTGGCTGATGAGTGCTGTTGATGCTACACCAGTGGAAGATATCCTAGCCGTCTGTGATACATGTGACATTTCGTTTGCTCACTGCTAAATATCAACAACACCATCGTCCTCACCACCATCATTTGCCTAATTATCAGCCCCTTTCCGCGAAACGATTATTTGTCTGCAATAACAGAGCAAGAGCTGGTGAACACCGCCATCGTCCACCAGCACCAACACCACCGACAGTGCCAGTGGAATGTCCTCTGACGTTTCCAATTCAGACAGGTTAGTCGTTCGGTTGAAGTGATCAGCACTTGCATCATACAGGCAGTCAGAATAAGAGTAGTTCAACTTATTGTGTGTTCTTACCATGCCAACCACCTCTTCTAATCTTCCTCATTCTTCTGATCACCTCAGCAGTGATGAATCCAACTGCTACGAAGTGGGTTCCACGGTCATCACGCCCACGGCGGCCATCAGCAGCAGCAGCAGCAGTAGCACCGCCACCACCACCACCACTCGACCTGACCTCCTGCCCTCTCGCTGCCTTTCGCCGTCCATCCTCGCCACGCGGGACTTTGAACTGTCGCTGAGGAGCAAACGAGAGCGAACCTTCTCCTTCACGAAGAATGCCACCAAAGCGGAGCCAGTGCTGCGCACTGCTCAGCGGACCATCTACACCGCCGGCCGGCCGCCCTGGTACGACACTCAAGGCCAGTCGAAGGAGTGCTTCGTCATCGGTCTGTAAACAAAAAAA